ACCAGGCTGTAAACATCTTTATTTATGCTGTGAAGTTGTTTTCTTTTTACCACGGGAGCCAAAGAGGATTTGCTCACTTCTGGTGCCTGCCCCCTAGAGGGTGAGGGGGGAACTGCAATTGTTGTCTCTGCCGGATGGGCTTCACAAAATTCGGCGACGACCTCCTCTTGCACTCCACTGAGGTGATTAAAAGAGCGATCTAACAAGTAGGACAACAGGCGTTCATTACCTTTCTGCAGAGGTTCAAGACATTTCAGATCTTTTCTGTTGAGCAGATGTAATTCACACAACTGTTGAAGCTCCACCTTGTTCCTCTGTGTAGGCATGTGCAACATCAAAACACCTTATTAATTAAGGATTTAGCCTTTCAAGCAATGGAAGCACTGCAGGTAGAACAAACAGATGGCCTCCTATGAATGAAGAGATGAGCCACAAATCACTGAAGTTATTGGATGTTTGCTGATCTTGATCACTGCCTCTTCCTCTTAACCTGCTTCCTCTTTTACCGCAGTGATCTGTCCCACTTACCAAGTTGGCCAGCTCTGTGTCAGACAGTGGAGGAGGAGGAGGCGAGGGTGCTCTCAGCCTGTTGTGTAACCACAGTGTAAGGAGATAAGCTCTTAGTCTGTACTTTCACCTGCCGTCATTAACACGGTTATCTTCTGAGCTACAAACAAGTGTTAGAGTTGAGATAAATGACCCTCTACTAAAGAGTTTGTTTAGCAAAAATTCCTGAGAACTTAAGAGGGGGCGCTGATAAATAAGAGCCCTCATTAGAGACGGATGCATCCTAACAAAACCAACTGCTTCACCTGTTGATAATAATAATAATAATAATGTTTCCCATCACTCAGAACCGGCTATGGCGGGGTTCTGCTGGACTGTGGGAGTAAAAGTACACATCTGAAAGAGCGGTCCAGTAAAAACAGCCAGTAAGTGAATGTTTTTCCAAAAAGATGTCAGAAGGGAAATATAAATGTATTTTTACAGAGATGGAGGGAAACAAGTGGGAAGTACTTAATTCCCTGAATGTTTGTGAAAGTTTTGACCCCAGCTGCAGGTCTGTGAGCAGGACAGATGATCGGTTCTCAGGTCATTTGAACCTTTATTAAAAATAAGCCCGAAATACAGAATTTAGTCAGAAATTTAGACAGGGTGTGCCTTTTTAATGAAAACAAATGGAATAGGACCTAACTGAAATTACAATAATTTATAAGATGTCAAAGTTGATGCAGGAATGACAGGAATCGTTTTCTGTTAGGTAAAAAAATGCAGAAGATCAAAAACTGGGTTTCACTCCTCCAAAGTGAGAGCGACTTTCTGAGCCTGGCTGCCTAAATAATTAAACAAATCATTCTGGCATGTCTAGACACGTAACTACAACCCTGAAATCACTTCAAACTAAATCTGGCGTTTGTATCTCAGACAAACTGCCGTCTGCTCGACGCTCCAATAACTAGACTTTGTGTAATTTTGAGGGAAAGCCGTACGACTACAGACTGGCTGAAGGGTTACCTTCTAACTAAACAATAACAGGAATCATGTGACCAAAATCTGCTGAATGCCACAACATCTCAAGGACTTCGGCAACATTTTCTTTACATCGTAGCTTAAACAGACAGCATTCATAGCGGTGGCAGTTCACACAAATAAAAGTTATTCCCCACCATTTCAGTCACACCTTTTACCTTTTATAACCTGAAATATAAAAATAATAATATAGTTTTTTTAACTGAATTGTTTATTGGCTATAATAAAATAACAAATAATCAGATGAACTAATTTTGTAATTAAATGACAATATAACAGTAATGATAATAAAATTGGCCCTCTTCTAGAGTAGATCCTCCACCAGAGGGCAGCAGATGCTACGGGACTGGACGTGGTTTCTAATGAAGGCACTAATCCTGATGCTCCAGCTGGTTTTTCTTTCCCCACGATGAATACTTTACTAAATAACCATCTCCGGATGCACCTGCATAAGAACTGTGACAGTTCAAAGAGCTATCTACAGCAGGTAAGATGTCGTTGTTCACAACCTTTCAACAGTCGCCAACAGGTAGATAGATGCCAAATATTTGTGTTTCCAATAAAACCTTTAAACAAGCCAAGGAACAAACAATAACAATAAAAAGACGGAGTAAACCCGCTGTGTTGGTGTCTTTGGAGAGAAATAAAAATAACCAGCTTTGACCAGATCTAACAGCTGTTCTCTGTATCTGTCAGAGAGGGCCTCGGCTCTCTGATGCCCCCTGCAGGCTGGAGCGGGTAAACAACCCCTGTAGGTGAAGGGTGGGTTCATAGCGACCTCTAGTGGAAGGGAAAAACCCAACGACCCGTTTTTATTTTCTTTTTTCATCCAAACAGCTGTGATTACCTCGTGATTTCTAAAAATGCTAAAGTACAACAAAGACACAAAAGAGTTAAACCAACACACACACTTGGCGTTAACAACAGCAACGTTGCGCGGCGCGCGCACGCGTGTGTATGTGTGTGAGATAGAGAGATGAACAGTTGGTAAAGTGTGATTCGGTGTCAGGTTGCTCTTTGGCGCAGCGCACGCAGCTGTCACAGATGTGCAAATATTTTCAGCGCACACTGCGCCTGGCCCTCGGCTTGTGAAGATTAATGATTAGACAGTGACCCCGTTCGAGTGCAGGTTCTTAGACTCTGATCACAGGGAAAGCAGCCATAGCAATGTAAATATATCTGAACACCACGGTGAGCCTTTAGGAAAGGCGGAAACTGGAACTTTGCCGAAACAACCGTGAAGCGCAGGGATCGCCGCGCTTCTCTACAGCTAAATATAGTGCAGCTGTTGTGATCCGTGGTCAGTTGGGATCCTAGCAGGACACGCCTCTGCTCTCCATGGAGTCGCGCGGTGCGTAAAGTTCAACCTGCGGCGGATCCAAACTTCACCACTTCCTCCGGTTCCACACCAGCTCCCTGTCATCGCTCAGGTGGACTAAATGCAGCGATGACTCGAGACGAAGATCTCATCCGGATCGCCAAAAAGCTGGACAAGATGGTGTCTAGAAATAACACGGTGAGGCTATTTTGACACCCGCGGGCGGCGCGTTGTCCCACCTCGTGCTGCACAGACGCAAGGCCGCACGCGCTCCGTGCACGAAACAAACGCTTTCCTAAAAGTTTGCGCTAAAGATTTCTCGTGAGTGTGACTTTTACAGGAGCTCTAACGGCATCCGCAGGTATTTGGCGTTGGTTTGCGGGTTAGCGCTGTGGGGGGTGAAGCTTTCCCGCAGATCTTCAGCTGATCGGGCTCGGTCTCCTCTTCATGAACAGAAAGTAAACAGCGCGGCCTGCTGATGCAGCAGCCGTGCGCTTGTTGTGTCTGTCTGTTCTAGGAAGAAGGACCTTGTCTCAGGGCAACAACACAGCTGCTGCTGCAGAAACGTTCAAAACAAGCGATCAGAATCAGAAAACCCGCGCAGTTCAGTGAGACTGAACGAAGGCGAAACTGGTTTCCAGCTCCATCTTTCAGCAACTGGTCTGTTATTACATGTTTATAAATAAACACATTCATGTTTGCAGGAGGGTGCCATGGACCTGCTGAAAGAGCTGCAAAGCTTCAACATGACCCTCAAACTGCTCCAGGTGAGTTTAAAGCAGGGGTGTCAAACTCATTTTAGCTCAGGGGCCACATTGAGGGAAATCTAGTCCCAAGTGGGCCGGACCGGTAAATTAAAAACAACTTCAGATTGTTTTCTTTGTTTTAATACAATCAATATAAAACAAGGCTGGAGCCTGAGAACAGTGTATCCAAAATAGTACAAGTACAACACCTGAAGTGTACTTGAAAATTTGAAAATAAATATATAAATAAATGAATAAATAAACATTCCTTAGCGATTCAAAGAGCTTATAGATCACAAGGCTAGATCAGTTTCATGCAGAACTTAAAGTATATTTGACTCATTTTACTTTACATCTTTTAGCTTTCAGCAGCACATCAATATCAGAAGTCACATCCTGAGTGGCGGCCATCTTCAGGATGTGATTCAAGTTCTTGTGTGAGCCTTGAGTGCAGCTTTGTTTTATTTATACTCATTACAGAAAAAACGTGCTCACAAAGATACGTTTATTTTAACTCTACATTGTAAAGTATGAAAATAAAGTTTACACAACCATCTCGCGGGCCGGATTTAACCCGTTTGTGGGCCGGAACTGGCCCGCGGGCTGCATATTTGACACCCCTGGTTTAAAGCCATTCTAATAATCATAAAAAGCTCACAGTGCCATCATGGGAGCCTTATCATTTCAGGAAACGAGAATCGGAATGTCTGTGAACAACATCAGGAAGCACTGCATGGACGAAGAGGTCATCACTTTGGCAAAAGTCCTCATAAAAGACTGGAAGAGACTCCTGAGTGAGTCGCAGTCACCCATCTCCTATTTGTGCAGCTAATCCATCCTGAGCCTGACGCGATGACCTCCATCTCTCTGACAGACGCCGCCGCCGCCGCCGGCCAGTGCCCCTCTGAGAAGGAGTCTGACCTGAAGAATGGTTTAGACTCCAGCAAACCAGCAGGAACCAGTCCACCCACTGAGACACAGTCAGTAACCCCCCCCCCCCCCCCCCCCCCCCACACACACACACACGCACGCACGCACGCACGCACGCACACGCACACGCACACACACGCGCACACACACATTGGCACCATCTAGTGGTAAGATCAACCGTTCAGCTGGATCTGAAGCTCAGATAAAATCAGGTAAAAGCCAAACATCACATCACCAATGTCGTTAGACTCAGATTTCACACAGACGCATCGGCGTTCACTTCCGTCCCTGAAGACCACAGCGGTTTTGAAGCTCTTGAGAACACTAGAGAAGCAGTGGCTCCTCAGCCATGGGGTCAAACTGAAGAACCTTGGGCTCTGCTGATAAGAGGCACTCCAGAACATGAGGACAAAGTGAAATGTGTCAGTGCTGCTGATGCTTTTCACCCTGTTCTGTAAACTTCAGGAGGAATGGAGCACAGAAAAGCTGCAGAGTGTTTTCTACACGGCAGCAGGAGGCCGATTCTCCAGAGGACGAGTCCCTTTTGACAAAGGAGTTATTTATAATCTGCCTTGGGAGGACGAGGGGTGATGTCAGCCCTTGTTTTCTGAATTTCATCTGTAAAAGAGGAGTGCGGGTAAAATTCTGTGCTTCTTTTAGGAGTCTGGATGTGAAACGGAAACACGATTCAGACAGAAAACCCTCTGACAAAAGCAGGAAGGAGAAACAGAATGACCGCCGCGTAGACAAAAAGAGGCCCTCGTATGAACCTGGGGTGGGTGAAAAGCAGCTAAAAGACATCCAAAGTGAGAAACATCTCAAAGACGTGAGAGAGGAGAAACAACCGCCTGCAGAGAGTCTGAAAGTGCACGAGCTCCCGGGTGGAAAACACAAACCAGAGCCAACGAAGGACAGGCCGTCGGAAGATCTGAAAAACATCAGCAGACATGTGGAGCCAGCCAGAAAAGAGACTCCCACGGAGAGACACGCAGAAGTGAAGAAGGACAAGAACAGAGAAGAAATCAGGCAGGAGAAGCGAGAGAGGACATCAAGGGAATCTTGGACAGACAGACCACTGGACAAACCTCTGTTTGAAAGGTGAGGGAGCTCCAGAAGCTTCTCTGCATGCCGGGAAGCTGCTGCAGACTGACTGGTTTCTTCCAGGAGAGGAGTGCTGGACAGCAGTGTTCTGTATCCCACCCGCTTCCCGTCACCTCCCCGTCCGGCTCGGCCGCCGCCCGTTAAACGTCCCGCCCAGGACTCAAAGAGAGACAGGTCAGGACACCAGCGGTAGCTGTAGGGACCCTGCATGAGCTAACGTCGCTCCATTACTCACGTGTAGCCGAGGCGCGGTGCATGGTGTGAGGTGCTGTGCTCCAACAGCATGTTGCAACATCTGCTCTCATCTGTCCTGCTGTGACACAACATCAGGAAGGACAGTAAAGACTCCTCCTCCCACGATCCTCACCCACACCCCTCTCCGCCGGTGTCCCCGCCATCGAAGAGCCCTGCAGAAACCAAGAAGGAAAGGTCAGACGTGCACGGTCGTAAAATCACTCTGAATGTTGCCGAGTCACAAAAATTGAATCCCCAAACTAATTTTCGCCGCAGGAAAGTTCCAGCGGACCCAAACGCTCCGATAGCTCCTCTCCCCTTGCACCTCCACGCCCCCTTGCCCAGGTGACGCTTGACACGCCCACCTACAGTGTTACTCATCTTCACCGCAAAGTGCTTCAGGTTAGCTGAAAGGTGTGTTTCCATTTAGAAAAGAGCCTCCTGACCCCAACGCTCCTCTTCCTCCTCTCCCTCTTCATCTTCACCCTCCTCCTCCTCCTCCTCAGAAGCACCCCTCTGTGGATGGGAAGAGGGACAGAGACAGGTCAGGACCAGAGGAGTTCTCACTCCTGCCGGCGTGCGTGTGGTTTATGGCTTTTTTAAACATGTTGTTGTTTGCAGCAGCAGGAAGTCGGCCGCGGACTCGAAGCCTCCGCCACAGAAAAAGTCAGCTGATTGTGTAAAGAGAGAAAGGTCTGGGCTCTGAGAACAATCTCACTTTGAAATCAGTTCAGATGATCAAAAACATCAGGCTGTGATCTGGAGTTTGGAACTAGCTGTTAGCTCATCGATCTTGTCAGGATTAAACTGAATTTCTTCAGATTAAAGCCATCAAAGAGCTACTTTTCACGACATGTGCACAAAAACTCACTTATGAAGATCTGAGCGACCACCTCACGGTTTTAATCTCATCCTATCAGCATCCAAACTACTTTCTCTCTCCAGGAAAGACTTGGTGGATAACAAAGTGTCTAAAAAACACTCGGATGAATCCAAAAGAGAAAGGTTGGCAAGTCACAATCTCTGCACGTGAACGCTGTTTAAGGTTTGACTCTTCATTGGTTTGCTTTGGGTCAAAGTCACGTGAATGTTTCTTTGTGCCAGGAAAGACTCGTCTGACTCTAAGACTCCTCCTCCTAAAAAGCTGACCGTGGAAATCAAAAAGGAGAAACTCAGGTGTGCAGGGGAGGAGCCTCTCTGTGCAGAATGAACCCACTTAGTCGTGGACTCTTACGGATCTGTGTCTCCTCTGTGACAGGAGGGACTCTTGTGACTCAAAGCCCAGCCAGCCGGTGAGACGCCATTCCTCGGACTCCAAACCTGACAGGTAATCACCTGAAATCACCGTCCAACTCCAATTCAGCCCAGTTTTACTGAAAGTGCCTCGCTTTTCAGACGGGAATCCACAGATTCTAAGAAAAGTGGCTCACCAACAGCCAAGAAGCTGGCAGGTGAAAGGTAAATGAAACCCACCGGGTGGTTGTCATCAATGCAGCGCACACGTGACATCCTAACGTTACCTTTGCAGGAGAGAGTCTTTGGGCTGTAAGGCTCCTCAGCCTGCTCACCAGCAGAGGAAGCTCTCTACTGACGGCGCTGAGAGGTAACACGATGGGCGGGGCTTAAGTGCAGAGGATCTGCGGGGGTGGGGGGTTGTGAACAGCTAACATCTCACCTGGTGTAGATAACTGTTTCCAACAACCTCACTTTGGAGCGATAGATTAGTTCTTACCAGACGGACGAGCTAATAGCTAAGCTAGTCCAAGAGGCCAGTGCTGTTTAAAACGTAATGAAATGATAAGAAGAGTGCTTTAAATACTAAAAATGCAAATGAAAATAAACAAACATATCGTAGTTCAGAGTGCGGTTGACGTGTCTTCAGCAGAAAAGGCAGAAGTGAAGCTCCCAGTACTCCCACCACGCCCACCAGCCCGATGTCTCCCAGCTTCAGCTCTGCCGGGGGCCCGCTGCCCCCTCACCTGGCCACAGGAGACTCCATCAGAGACAAGTGCATCGAGATGCTGGCAGCTGCTCTGAGAACAGACAGTGAGGCCGAGATCACTCTGATTAAACATGACTCAGCAGCTTTTAGACCTACTCTGGAACTAAAGGGCCCGACTGAATAGTGTGATCTGATCTGGTTTTAACAGATGACTACAAAGATTTTGGAACAAACTGTGACAGCATGGCAGCAGAGATCGAAGATCATATCCTTCAGCTTCCTTTGTTCTCCACGGTCGTGGAAAACCTGTTTTAGCTTAATCATTGAACCTTAACTGGGTGACTGCACATATCTACCAGGAGAATAAGGCCACCGACATGAAATACAAGAACAGGGTTCGGAGTCGCATCAGCAACCTGAAGGACCCCAAGAACCCGGAACTTCGCAGAAACGTCCTCGCAGGCAGCATCGAGTTGAGCCGCATCGCCACCATGTCCGCCGAGGTACGGAGAGCTGCAGCCTCGCCGCGGCGCACTGATCGGCTCCTTTTGTGATGCGTGGTGTCTGTGTTTAGGAGATGGCCAGCAACGAGCTGAAAAAGCTGAGGAACGTTCTCACCCAGGAGGCCATCAGGGAGCACCAGATGGCCAAAACTGGTGGGACCACCACAGACCTGCTGCAATGCAGCAAGTGCAAGAAGAAGAACTGCACCTACAACCAGGTAAGCAGATGAGAATGTCAGGTACCAGTCCAGGCCTGCAAAGTCCGCTCTCTGTCACAACACGTGGTAATTCATCTGTGTGTGTGTGCGTGTGTGTGTGTTTCAGGTGCAAACACGAAGTGCTGATGAGCCAATGACCACGTTTGTTTTGTGTAACGAGTGCGGTAACCGCTGGAAGGTAACACCTTTATCCTGGAGGCTTTTATGCTTTCATAAAAGAGTTCAACAACGTCTCTTTTCCTGTTTGTTTCTGAATTCCAGTTCTGCTGATGCCGCTGAGGCGAAGCCACATTTCTGGAGCATTTTTTAGCCGTTTATTTCCTATGATTGGAATTTAAGAGTGCATGGATTCCTGCAGCTGAATAGCGAGGCTGTTGCTGTTTTTACTCCAGCTATTGTGATTAATTAGCATGTGTTAGTAATGCGGGTGTGCTATGTGGACTGGACAACGACTCGGCTTTAAATCAACTCGGCTGTGGTCCTGAAGCTGTCGTGATGCCAAAAATCTGAAATAATTTAACCCTCTCAGGCCCGAAATAAGTTTTGATAAAAGGACGAACAACTAAGTGCTTCAGGGGTACTTCTGAGGTTAAAAATGCTCATGAAACACGTGTGTGGAGTAACCAGGTAGGTAGGTTTTAACGTTGCTAATCTGCAACGCCGGCCTCCAGAGGGTTGAAATATCTGATTACGAATGATCATTTTGTAAATATCTTTGAATAATACCACAGAAATCTCACGTGTTGTTTCTTTTTTAACAAAACAGCTGGAGTTAGAATAATTAATGTGCTCCTATTATTAGTTTAAAAATCTACTAATGGCAGCGTGGGTTCGGGTATAAGACTTTTTTTTATCGACTCATGCTATGTTACTCAGAAAGTCAACAGTAGAGGGCGACATTTCATGCATAGTGTGAAATGCATCAAGTAAAATTTATGTTATTTTAGAAAAACAGGCAGTTTAACCCATTGTAGACAACCCCAAAGTAAAAAAATTGTCGTTCCTTTTCTCTGATTTTAAACAAAAACTTGCACAAAAATAGAGGAAGGGGACAAATATTTAGAGCTCATTGCATTACCTGGGTTTAGGTTGTGGAGTACGGGGTGCCGTTTGCAAAATAAGATCAGCAGTTTGGTTTGTACTCTAATTATTTAAATGGAGCAAAATTTTTACTTTGCAATATGAATATATTTAGTTTGTTTACAAATGTGGCTCTAAACCATCGTTAATATTTTAATCCAAGCTAAATAATTAGTTTACAAATGAAATACTTAATTTGGAAAAATAATATTTACTGAATTGTTTAGTTTGTAAACTAATTTTGGTTTGATCTAAATATTATTTTCTAAATCAAATGTTTAGATCTTAGCCAACAAATTAGTTTGTAAATTAAATATTTAGCTCAAAACTAAATATTCAGATCAAAATTAAACATTTAGTCAGAGGTGGAAAGAGTACTAAAATGTTGTACTTAAGTACAAGTATAATTACTTTCATGAAATTTTACTCAATTACAAGTAAAATTACCTGCCTCAAAATGTACTCAAGTAAAAGTAAAAAGTAGCTTATTTCAAATGTAGTCAGAGTAAAAGTTACTTAGTTACTTTTTTGACTGTGCAAGGACGGGCTCTTCTGAACAGTTAAAAAAAAGACAATGGGGTATAAATGTCAAAGTGGCTGTTTTTTTAATTAAATGAACAAAGGCAGTTACACTGCAAACTAGTAACATAAATTAGGTTATAGTCACAAGCCCATGAGTTTTCCCTGAATGCTTATTTAGAGCAGCTGATTTTTAAAGATAGCAGAGTTCATCTTTGGTAGTGGGTTCACTCACTCATTTAAAGATATCGACCAGAGGCAAAATTTGTTTGAACAGCATGTGTAAATGTGTATTAAAACCTCAGATGAAAAAGGTTTTTGGATTTTGACGGCTGGAATTGTAAGAAAATCTGATGTTTGTGACCGGCGCAGGAAAAACAGAAACTAACGTCCGGTCTAAGCCCTGGGCAGCAGTTGACGTTTCACATGGAGCTCTGCTGAAACAGCTGTAGTAAACAACGCCTGGCTCCGGTGTTTCTGCGTTAGCGTTATAGCAGAGAACATTGTGTCATCAATCAGATGTAGCTTCTGAAGCCTCTACTAGTCCATCAGATTTGTTTTTTCTCTGGGATACGGCGACGAGAACGGATATTAGATTACTGGAGAAGTTCAACCGAACTCCGACCCCGCCAGCTGGATATCACTACCAGAGGTGCAGACATGTTTTAGACCGTTTGACTCAGAAGACCTGCGACCTGATTTGGACATAGAGGAGGATTCTGTTCATCTTCAGAACCAAAATCGGTACAGTTTGTTTACTTTTCTTAAATATTTCATTTCTGTGCTCCACTGGGAGCTCTAAGCTGACAAGTTTTCAGCTGGTTTTAGCTCCATCATGTGTCCCAATATAATTTAGTAATCTACAGTTTTACTGCTGTGTATTTATTGATATAACTCTGGAAAATATTTAACCAACAATTTACCAGAATAAATCTTCCTGATGCTGGAGTAACTCCTTAGCTCAACTCGTTGTTTGCACTAATCCAGGATGTCATGGAGGTTCTAATGTTGAAATATAGAGATCATCTTTTAGATTATATCTGTGTGTGTGTGTGTGTGTGTGTGTGTGTGTGAGAGTGCGTACGTGCGTGTGTGTGTGTCGTAGCTTTCCCAAAGGACCTTTTCTTTCCTTACCGGAGCGAACACGGTTAGTTTTGCTGCAGTCATGCTAACGGGACTCGTCTGGAGTCCAGAAGTAGCTGTGCGGTTCTAGATGGATTTATAGATGTAAGTTATTATTTTAGATCAGACCTGTTATTTAAAAATGCGTGTAGGACACAGACACATGGCTCAGACCTTTTGCTGCAGCTGTAAACGCAATTTTATGTAATAATTAGGAGCATCAAAGTAAACAAATAACAGTGATTCACAATATAGCATCAGCAGCTAGCTTGTTTTACGTGCTGGAGTGACGTATGCGAAACACAGTTCTTCACTGTCTGGAGGAGAGGATTTGGATTTTCTGTAATGATTTATGACAAAAGTCCTTAATAAAATAAAAAACTGGACCCAGTACATGTTTATATAGATAATAAAGTGTAGTTATTTTGCATTTCTACAATTTTAATGCCGAGCCGATACCTTTAACCCTTCACCACTGAAACCAGTTTGTTCATCCCAATCCTCCTAAATAATCCTCCAATCATCCAACTGGAATCCTTAAGGGTCCCGGAACGTCCATCCTGTCAGAACAGGCCTTGGGAGCCCAGGTGTTACTAGAACTAATGGTGTCTCCTCACCAGCGTGAGCCTCCAAACTGTGAAGGTTGGTCTCCAAACATGAACTTCAAATTCATGCATTTATCTCCTCTTGTAACACTTTAACATGTTTTAAAAGGCTTGCATCATGATATGTTACACCTCCCAGACCAAAGATAAGATAAAACATTATCATAAACACTGTAGAGACATAATTGTTTATTAAATACAAGTTATTTTCCTGAGCCATTACTTCAGCCAAGATATAGGATGCATGGATTTGATGAAGCCATGCTGTCTTATGCAGTCCTACACACACACACACACACACACACACACACACACACACACACACACACACACACACACACACACACACACACACACACACACACACACACACACACACACACACACACACACACACACACACACACACAGCAGCATGTTAGAATCATTTGAATGACTAATTTAACTACACTGAACTGCTTTAGTAATAATTTAATCTCTTATTCTGGAGTAAAATAAAGAAACAAGCTAAGTCATCACATATCTGTGGCATCAAGGAGCAACGTCCGAGTTCAAACACAGGGATGGAGCACAATGTTTACACCTGAACAGTATCAGGATTAACTCACAGAGGCCTGCAGGCTGCAGGTCTTCTGTTTTATGAGCAGAGCGCTGAGAATCCGCTTCTTAGGAGCGCTAAACGTAATTTTGCCGCTTCCGTGCGCGGTAAGGAAACACATTTCAAACACGGAACCGAGTCTGGTTGCCGAACCGAGCAGAATTCTGATGACGTCACACCGGTGCGCGAAGGTGCGTGTTCCAACCCACAGGAGAGGAGGTAAACAGCGAGTGGATCACAGGGACTGAACTGATGTTTTTGAGCAAAACTGCGGTAAAAATGGCTGTTTGTCCTCATTATAAAGCGTGTAGCCACCCCTCCCCGGTTTAGACGCGGCGCTCATGCAGGTGTCTCTTTCTGTTCCGACGCTGCTACACGTAATATTTTTAATTTATTAAGCCTACAATTTATTTTTACTCAGTAACGGATATGATTTATGATGTAGCGAATTACAATTCTTTTTAAAAAACTTACTCAAGTAAAAGTAAAAGTACAGATTTTAAAAACGACTTAAAAAGTATAAATTTACAAAAAAGCTACTCAATTACAGTAACGTGAGTAAATGTAATTCGTTACTTTCCACCTCTGCATTTAGTTAATAAAATACATATTTGACTCCAAATGAAATCTTCAGCTATTTAAATATTTATTTGCACGAGGAAACTACTGATCCTTCCTGCCCTGCAGAAGAGCTGCAGCCAGACTGACAGGAGACAGTTTCAGAGTTCATCCTCACATCTCATTTGCTGCCTGACTCATTTCTGGGTGACTTTGTCCATCAGTGAGGATAAAATAAAGCTTTGCTTCAACAGACTTAACATGACTGTTGTGTTTTTGGTGTTTTTTCCTCCATAAAGGAGCAGAAAGACACAGCTTGTTGATTTTTTCCTCTAAATTCACCATGAAGAGACAAATCTGCCTGCAGACAGGATGTGTTTATAGAAGCTCAGAGAGCTTACCAGAAACACGGGCACATCAGCCTCATCAAAGCTGGAGAGCAGTCTGAGCTGACACCATATTTTGAGTAGACACATACTGTTACTGCTCTGCTGTGCCAAGGGAAGACGTGCCACCAAATCTTCACTTTGTGCGTTTTCCCCTCTTAGTGCAAACAGAATAAAGTATCTAATATTCATGCAGCATTTTGCAACCACATGATTTATATATCTTGCAGACATTCCTGAATTATAGCCAGTAATTTAATCCTCTCATTTAACAATAAAGGAGGCTCTATCACCTGTTCCTCCGGTCTCTGGGTTTGGTGATATGAATCTTTCATTTCCTCAGAGTTTATAATAATCCTAAATGTCTGAAGAGGCTGGGTGATTTAATGGTTTTAGCTCTTAAGATGAAGGGCGCTAAGTCTGCACCATTCAGGCAGATGCTGCAAAGACCAGATGGCCTTTAGTCAGATCTAAATGTCAGTGACCATCAGAAGACTTTCTATCTTAAACAGTGATGGAGCGATTCCTCCTGTATGGATGTGGGTAAGATCAGACTGGCACTTCCACATAAAAATGGATTCATTCATGGTTAAATCATGTTGGAGGAGATATTTACAGCTGTAAATGACCAAATTCCATAGAAACACCCAGGAAACTGATAGAATTATTTATACAACACATTAAATTACAGAGTTTTTGAGCTGTTTGAGGTGCATTTACATGCACATCTAGGTCGATCTAAAGGAATAAACCAGGAGCCAGATGGTTTATAGCAACACAAAAAATAAAGAAACGCTGGTGGGAGTGAAGCAGATGAAGTTTTTCCTATTTTAAATGAGTTTCTTGAGCCAGTATGTGCTGAAATGAACCTTTACAGGGTTAATGAAATGTCACTCAGACCCCCAGCGCCCCCCTGTGGCCAGAATACCGCATTTGCAACTTCAGACTGGCAGGCCTGATTGGGCTGACATAACTGGTGCTGCAGTCTCCAGCCACGTTTCAGATCATGAACACAGCTGATTTGAATCAAGCAAATGAAGGCTGGGGAGACATTTCAGCTGTTAGATTAAAAAGATGAAGCAAGGAGATCGTTTTCTTTTGGTTTCACCACAGAGATTTAATAACGGACACCAGGGGGTGCTGAAAGCAAGCAAAACAGCCGAGTTTAAAACAGAACATGCAGAAATGAACGACGCTGCAGCACAGCATATTTGCTTCATACTGTACTGTCTGATGGAGTTACATGTGTTACGACGATATTATCAGAAGACTGCTTCCACGGCCTCGTCACTTCCAGAAGTTACCGGCATCAGCTCGACTGGGCCGTTTGCATGCAGAAGAAGTCGTTCTGCTTCTGCGTCATCCGGGTGCTTCAGCACAACAGGCCTGAAACAGAGACCACCTTAGTGCAGAGGACTGATGTGAACCACTGCTCCAACGTGCAGCTCACAGCTTTTTCCAGCTTCAAGCTCTAAAAAAGAGAAGCTTATGATTTTTGCATTTTTATCTAAATGATTACCTGACGTTGAAATGCACTTGCCCCTGTAGGTTTAACTTACATTTCTCTCTTAAGCAGACGGACTGCAGGGTGGCTGAAAGCCACCCTGCAGTCCGTGCTTCTCCTGACTCTTCTGCAGGCTGACTCCTAATTGCAAACAGTGGGACATCGTGGTCTTGTGGATGATGCAGCGGGGGCAGCAGACCTCTCAGAGGACAGCAAACGGCAGATTTACAGAGGAGCTCTGCTCGCCTCTATCAGAGAGAATTCACATGGGCAGGTTTCCTTGACAACCACATTTCACCAACTTTGATTTCAGTCTCACATTGATCAGAACGCTCCTCTAGTTCTTGTTTTACAATTTCTCTTTTTTAACCAGAGGCAAATAATTTTTTCCTCATGCATCTGCATTTTTACCTTTTTATTTTAATTTTCTGTCATCCTGAACTCAGTCCATCCATCTTTGGCCAGATGGAGGATGTTTCTGCTGTTTCTCTGACTCACCTCCATGTTTCAGTCACGCTGAGCTGTTAGTTGTTCATCTTCCTGTCTTCCTTCATGTGCACCCCGACTTTGAGACTTTGTGGATCAGCGTTTATCCTCCAACACCTTAAATCTGATCTGTCTTAAAGGGATATTCCAACTGAAATGTTATCTGTTGACACATTTCCCAACGTTAGATAAGTGGAAAAAATCAATTTGAAACCAGCCCAGTCATTCTCCTGACCCGGCTGTACTTCTTTAGCTTTAGCTTAGCATAAAACACAGTAAGTGAGTGGATGCTCATGACACCAGTAGCATCTATCTGTGCGTTACCAAGGGTCTGTTAACCTTCTCTTTCATCTGCTGGTTTAATGGTCTGTCTGCAGGAAAAGAGCCGCCTGATCAGCATAGTAAACGTGTGCTCCGGGAGCCGAGGGGCTCGGTCGGGTTCCCTTTGGAGGAAATGAGTCATGCAAAGCACATTCCTTCAGAGGAATCCTTGTGTTGCCTTCAGGCTGATGTTACAAAGTCCCACGATGAGAACAAGCTGCTGCTCCTCCTGCTATCAGGCTGCAGAACGTGGACTACTTCGGTGTAAACAGAGCTTCCACTTGTTGATGGTGTGCATTAGAACTAGAGAATAAAAATGTTGTCATTCTGATTTATCACTGAGAGCAGTTTGACCTGAGAAAACTCATCACACCTCATTGGTCTTTGACAGGAGTGTGTGTAGCATCTATCTGAAGGTGTGTGAAGGTCCAGCTCCAGGCTGAGCCTTCATAAATAATCTGATGGCGGCATCGACTCGTTACATTCATGCACCATAAAGGTGATGTTTGAACAATATTACCTCATTTTTATGTAAAAAGAAAGCTTCACAGTGAGATGCAACAAGAGTCCTGATTCGTTCATCAGTTCAAATCAGTTCAGAATCTGAATCAACTTTATTGTCAACGGCCCGGCGACCTGAAGCACAGACGTTTGTTATTTGCTCACAGAAACAGAACCTGATGACATGCAGCCGATAAAATCTCTGAACTTGTTCTCCTTTCTGAGACGGAACTGCAACAAACCTTTCCACTTACATCTCTTGCGCATAACCCTCCATCTTTCTTTTTAGATTCTTGAACATTTTCTCTGTTTGGGTCAAGGATAATTCTTCTTCTTCACTTCAAATGATCCCCCAGAGGAAGAAAATCTGCTTCAAAAGACGCTTTTTACACTGTGAACTTCAGTCCCCCCGTTCTGAAGGCTCCCTTGGCCTCAGCTCTGCTTTTTATCTCCTCCACCCTGTCAGTCACCACTGACTCTACCGCCTTTCAAACAGAAACAGCGGGTCGGACGTATTAGCTGCGTTGCTCCAGAGGTTCTTTTAAACTCTGACTTTTTGTTTTCCAGCCTGTGAATGCAGCTGAAATGGCTTCATGACTGTGTGAGACCTAATGAAGCCTCAGATCCTCACGAATCACTGTTGCATAACGAGTCATCAGCTGAAACGATGGGAACAAACAGGAGGGCTGGATTACAGCAGCAGAGACAGGAAAAACAGCACAAAGATCGACTACTGATCTGCTGATGCTTAACGCATCTCTCCCTGAGCAATCCGTTTATTTTAAACGTGCTGGTGAAGGTTCTCGGTCATCCAGGTCTTGGTAATCGAAAGAGTTCAAATGAAGGCAGCTGGACTTCTTTGGTTTCTTGATGACGTTTTGCTTCTCATTCGAGGAGCTTTGTCAGCTCTGACTGGAATATGAGAGTCGAGTTTATAAACCATAGTCGTCTGCTGCCCCAGCCTTCTGGCTAGGGGTCGGGCACTTAACTCCTCTGCCCCGTTGCCCCATCTCATAAAACACTATGAAGCACAGACCAGTAGGGTAGGGGGTACTTATTTGAAAAAAAAAAAGTAATAAATAACGCAATTAAAATGATGAAATTTTAATAGTTTAATGACAAATTACAATACAATAAACAACACAAATACGTGTGACTTTTCAAACATCCTGCAGTATCAGTTCTCTTGTGCAGAGGGAAAACTGAGGGAGGGGGTTTAGAGCTCATCCAAAGTGGCTTCCACGGAGCTGATGATTGAAAATAATACTGTGGTTCACACTAATAATGAATGATTTTCCCTCAGGACTGACAAAACAAAAACAACATTTTGTCGTTTTCCTTTTTAATGTACGTTCCATTAGACTCTCTTTTACAACACTGCAGATGTTAGAGACGGCAGAGAGGATGATGCATCACGCATACATTCAGCCATTACAGAGAGCAGCAACCCCTCTGTCCTACATGACTGTTTTCAGCCCCCCTTCTCTGTACAAACGTGTTTGAGTAACCGTGTGTGTCATTACGTCTCCAGCAGCAGGAAAATGTTCTTGTAAACAGCCAGATGAGCACTGGACTGAGGGAAATGGTGTGTAAGCTCAGAGCTGGACTGAAACACCAACAGGCAGATTCACTTGCAAGGCTCAGTGCATGCTTCAGTTGCTCCTCGTTTGCTCCCGCCATCTCCTCCTTCCCTGCATCAGATTCACAAAGTCAACAGCACTGAGTAAAACCAAATTCAGCTGGTTTAACTGGTGCAACATGTCCAGTCGTAGATGTGCTTGATGCATGACCTAGATCTCCTGTCACAGACGCAACTGGTAAAAAAGAGATAAATAATGGGATATCACCACTGGATGAGAGGATGCCTCAAGTCTACTGCACATTAGAAGCTTCAGCTGTGCGGAACGTTACTGCTTCAAAAAGAATCCATTATAGCCTATAGGGGTGATTCAAAACAGCCGCAACGCAGCAATGTTCTGGTGTGTCCCAGAAGCGCCGCGCCACTAACGGGAGGATTGGGTTCTACTTTTGTCACGAGCCGCTTCTGGGATGCAACAATTTCCACAGTTAACATTGTAATGTCCAGAAATGGTCAGTTTGACCCCTTCAGTATCTGGTCATATGGAGACAGGAGTCTACATTTGTGGCCTTTAATCTGCCAGATCCTGCCATTCCATCAGCTGGAGTCCGGGCCTCTCTGCAGCTCGGAACACACGATAACATATTGTCAACAAACTGTTCCCTTCTCAAGGTCCTTCTGTGCCAAGCCTGTCTGCTTATCTTGGCCGGACTGGACTGTCATAAGAGTGACTGTTTTCAGCTCATGTGTGTTAATCAATAGTGAAATGGAAAGAACAAATGTTATATGAAATGATCAATAATGTTTTGATTAAATTGTGCTTAAATTAATAAGGTTGATTAATCTGTGCTTGAACTACTGAAAGTTTGAAATAAAATGAATTATTACACTGAATGATTTATATATGTGATGATCAGTAATGTTGGATATGACAAGGCAATCATCACCTACACTCAGACACAAGGTCCATTAGACAGATAAATTAAAGTTAAGTTAAACTCATGACAAATAGACATTTCCTTACCCCTAATCAGAGCATCCGGTATCTCAAAGAAGGCGTGATGTTCTGAGGTTCTTGGTAATATCCCTTAACATGGCACTTTCCGATTGGACAAGAATTCATAACATGAGAATATTAAAACAGAGCTCACGAGACAGTGAGTCAGTTCTAGAGAAAGCTACAGAACGGCCGTTCGGAGCTAACCCTCTTTAGCCCAGAGCATTTTTGACAAGCTGTCAAAAACCCTGCTAAAAGCTGCCTACAGCTGACTCAGCAAACGGTTCCTGCACAACAATGCTGACACTGTTCTGACTCCCTAAGAATCCTTCTAGACGCAAACGGTTCCATCCATCTGTTGTGAGGGCTAGATGGGAAATCACACAGTTTCATTGTAAAAGCCCTGGTCATTTTCAAAATAAAGGTCTCATAGTTTCATATCTATGTAGATTAAGTTAATACAAGTGACCTAACGACTGATTTACTCACAGTGTCGTTCCAGAAGTGTGGCGGTGTGTTTTCATGGCTTTAATTCTGGCAGTGGGGTGGATTAACACCAGATGGCATCAAACAGAGGTATTTCTGACTTTTAGGTCTAATGGCAAACGCCATGAAATGGAGAGAATTTGTGATCTCACGAGCCGAGCGAGGAGCACAGTGGAGAAGCCGCTTTGTGGCTGAGACTCTCCCGGTGTGCAGCGACTGTCGTGAGTAAACCTTTCCTCTGCCGCTGATGCTTCTAGTGTGCAGCAGGGGTCAGACGTTTTCTGACACGCCTGCCTCTTTTTGTGAAGACAACAGTCCAGCAGACGGCCTTTTATCTAGGTTTCTGAGAACCAAGTCGCACCACTTCTCAGGAAAATGTAAGCTGCCATTTCCTCAGCTGTTTGAGTATCATAGTCTTTTATTTACATGAACGTGGGCCAGTTTTACGGATGCAGAATACCTCTTTTAAATGTCCAGAGGTTTGCTGCACTGGTGTGCAGACGGACGGAGATGCTGAATTACCCTCATCTCTTGGTATTTTCAGCCTGAGTGTCTCTTCAGTGTCAGACATATACAAAACTAAAAAAATCTTCCGATGACGTTCTGGATCTGAACTTAATATAAAATTATAATACTGTGCAAAGTTTGTTTATTTCAGTAATTCAACTTAAACAGTAAAACTAATACCTTGTTCTGTCATGACTTCCTATCCTTCACCCTCCTCTGCCTCTTCATTCAGCTCACCTGGTGCCCTCACCAAGCCCTGTTTTCCCTAGCAACCTCAGTCAGCACCACAATCAACTCCATTCATCTCACCTGTTCATGTAATCAGCTTCATTCACTTCACCTGCTCCGGACTCCTCAGCTCATCACCCACACCTGCTCTTCCTGCTATAAAAGATCCATTCAGCTAGCCAGTCATTGCCAGATTATTTACAGCCCTGCCAGTAAATTCTCCAGCTATTCACCCTGCCTGATTTCTGCCTCCGGACCTTGTTTTTCTCCTGACCCCTGCCTTTCACGCTGCCTGCCATTTCTACCTTCGCCTGTCTCCGACTCTGTCTCCAGGCAATTCTGCCTCAAATGAAGACTTTTTTAAAATTTATTTTTATTCATAATTCATAATCTCAGACAAGTACTGCAGAATATTGTGAAAAGGTTCGACATCCATTCACTCTAATCAGCTGAGGAATCCAGAGCATCTGCAAAGGGTTCCCAAGCCTTTAGATGGTTTCTCAGTCGGAGCTGAATCACTGACATAAATGGACCTTTGCTCCATATTCTCATTTTACCAGTTTAACCTGTTCAATGGGGTTCTGTTTGGTGACCCGTGTGACCTCCTGCCATTTGTCCCAACACTGGTGTTTGTGTCGATTCTTAATCCAGATGCTGAATGCTTTTATTCTGATAGCATTGATTGTGTTGATAGATAAACGATGAGGGTTGTTTGAGATGGACACAGATTACGGTTCCAGATTCAAACCCAAATATTTTATAAATCATCAATGTGAACGTTAATGTTAAAATTGTTGATCAGTTTTGGATGAAGGCATAGATTTGTGTGAAACAAGTAAACAAATGTAAACTTTTTTCCATTGCACAGTAAATAAATAAATAAAACCCATCCTCTTCCTCCAGCAGGTGCTGCTTTATTCTGAGCCAATAGACTGTTGGTTTATTTAAAGGCTGCTGCAGCATCAGCTGGCATCGCTCTCTGTGTGAAAAGCCTGACTGAAGTGATGCTCGCTGGGCATCAGATTCGATAATCACACCTGGTCTGTTTGGTTTCTGACGCTCACTATAAAGAAAATGTTTTCAAAAAAAATATTTGATTTAACTAATGATAATCCATGCATATACAAACGAACGATCCAGAAGAATGTTCTGACAAAAGCATTAATACATCATCACTGAATAAAAGGAAATCTCATTTGAATCCATCTAAAGGGTAAATCTGTCTCAGTGTGTTCTATTAGCACTAAGGCAGTTTAGTGTGACTAGAAAATCCTTCAAATTGACTGATGCTATATGTTATCAGAACCACCGTAAATTTTTAATCAGCACTGGAAGATAATCTCATCTCTCCTGTGGCGTAGAGCCCCATTGGCGCCGCTTATTTGAGCCGTAGACCATGAATGTCTGTAAATGTTGGAAACAGACACCAGAATGACAAATGACTCAATACAAACAAACACACTAATTATGTTGTAAGGGAAGAAAAACAATAAAATATGTTCATAAAGCTTTAACGGATGTTCAACGAGATGCTGAAACAAATAAGCCGTGCTTGCATTTGTGTGTGTGTGGGGGGGGGGGGGGGGGGGGGGGGAGGGGGGGCACTAGCAGGCACCGTTATACCCATTCTGTAAATGGACTCCACTGGTAACAGCTTCTAACATAGACGAGGGAAACATGTTTAGTTTGAAGTTCACCATGAGAACCTCAAGTTCCACCCGTAGACACATTATAATCCATCTCAAAGGTTCTGGGCTGGATCTGGTGACTGTGGAGGTCGTTGGTCATCTTCTAGAAACCAGTTAGAGATTATCTGAACTTTGTGAAGCAGTCACCAGAAGATGGGTCTGTGTGGTCATAACGGGATGGACATAGTCAGCAACAATACCCATGATGAGGTGTCCCACACCACCCCAGCAGCAGCAAACTGAACATCTCATACAAGTCAGGATGGATTCATGACACCAAATTCTGAGCAGCTGAAACTGAGACTCGTCAGGCTAGATGGCAGGAAACGATTTCTGCAGATTGTGATGTGGTTGTCAGGTAGGAACAATAGAGTTGGGTATCATCAGAATCGCAGTGGTACGAGAGGCCATGAGGTTGGACAATCTGGCCCAGTGAAGTGGTGTAAACGACAAAGAAGGAAGTCCTGGTTCTGAGCCTTGGTGAACCCCTGTGGAGTGGAAATGTGACCAGGCCAGGATCAGTGATTGGAATAATTAACAGAGTTAGTGTTTTTCAGTGACCTGAAACCAATAAAATAACTTTTTGCAATGTTACAATGTCATGTTTGTTACTGATGCAGCACAGGTGCATTACTATAATTCAACAGGTGTGTTAATGCTGCCATCGCTAAAAAGTCACACAAGTACTGCTGATTGGTTATGAGTAAACCACCCTTTGAAAACACTGCGCTGTATTCTGGGAAGTTTGTGACCAAGGCCAGGCTACAAGGCACCTCCTGTGCATCTTTGCTCATGTAGCTAGACGGCTATTTTCAGCATTTCCACGGATGTTTCCAGATTCATGGTAAAAACTACACATAGTCACTTTAACACATGAAATAAAAGGGGGTTAACGTAAATGTTCTGCAATAGTACTTTATAGTAGATTTTAAAGCAGAATTGTATAATTACCAGGACCAAAAAAAATAACTGTATATATATTTTTATCAGTGTAGCAGCTTTAAACGCACTAAGAATAAAACATCATATTTTGGCGTCAGAGGTCTGAAGCGTAGGGTGGCTGACCATGCGTTTGTTTTTGAGCGCTGGGAGTGAGAATGTGTTGCATACAAATGTTGAGTTGGAGAGTTGTATTTTTAACAGAAGATATTTATAAACTCAAGAAAGCTTAGAGGTTCTCTAAGAGGATGCACGTTGTAGTAAAAACCCTCTGACTTCAGAGCTTTGTGCAGGAAAACGTTTCAACAAGCGCGCAGCAGCACGCTGTGCCAAACGGAGCGCGCACAGAGCGCGCAGGCAGGAGAGGGGAGGAACAACTCCTCGGTGCGCCACCTCTCCAATCGGGCAGCTTTTAATATTTTCTCCTGAACACCTGTCTAGCTGAGAAAACCCAGACTTCTCTTGGAGACATATCACCCAATTTGTCGCGATGGAGTTCCCAACTCTCTCCCCGGAGGACTTCTCGGTGTCTGCGACCCCTTTCAACGCATCCTTCTGGGAGGATCCGCTGCTGCTCCAGCCTCCAGAAGGGAACGGAACCAGCGGGGCTGCAGCCAGGAACACGGCGGGTCTAGTCATCGCTGTCGGCATCACGGCGCTCTACTCTCTCACCTGTGTGGTGGGGCTGCTGGGGAATCTGCTGGTGATGTATGGAGTGGTCCGGTAAGAGTTAAACACACACCGAGAAATGTCAGGCACAGAAAAAGGATAACGGAACATTTGACTGATCTAAATATTTACGGACACACACACACCCTAACCTAACCCAACAGAGAGAAAAGTGTAATCTTTTGTTCAACCTTCAGGATTTTGATGATTCTTATTAAATATTTCTGCATTAATGAAGTTTAAGTGAACAAAAGCAATAAGTTCAGACCTCAGATGTGTCCCAAAAGGAGTTTTTGGTCTCAGTGCAATCAAACAAATGAAATCTAAACTGCATCACACACTCACTCCCTGTCAAACAGACATCTGAGGGTGATTTATTCACCATGTGTTTTGTAATAAATCCTAATATGGTGTGAGAACGTTAATGTACAGGAAGTGGCCATAAAATTAGAACATCATGACAAAGTTGATTTATTTCAGTAATTCTGTTTGAAAAGTGAAACTTGTACATTAGATTCATTCATCACACACAGATTCAAATTTTTATTTCTTTTAATTTTGATGATTATAACTGACAACGAATGAAAATCCCAAATTCAGTAACTCAGAATAAAAGAATATTGTGAAAAGGTTGAATATTGAAGACCTCTGGTGCCACACTCTATTCAGCTATAACTCAAAACACGTGCAAATGCCTTTAGATGGTCTCGCAGTCTACTTCTGTAGGCTACACAATCATGAGGAAGGTTGCTGACTAGACAGCTGTCCAAAGATGACCATTGACACCTTACACAAGGTGGGCAAGACCCAAAAGGTCATCGCCAAAGAGGCTGGCTGTTCCCAGAGCTCGGTGTCCAAGCACATTATTGGAAATGTGAAGGGAAGGTCAAAAAGTGTAGGAGCACTAGTGAAAACCGTACCCTAATTATGGCACCGGGGGACTTTACTGTGTTGTGGCTGCAGCAACGAGCCAGACAGCAAATCATTACATCTTTAAAATATTACAACATCTCAGCTTGGCTCATAATTCTCCCGTAACTCATATTCCTCTTTGATGCCGTTTACAGATTCCTTTTAAATATCTATTTTTGTGTTTGCTGATGTTGATCAGCTGTAGCCGCCATCTTGAATCAGAATGACTTTTGTTGAGATCTGCTTGGCGGTGGATGAGATGTTTTCATAGGATTTCTGGGATTGATTAAGTGTTGCAGATCGCTGAGATGAGATTATTCCAAGCAGAAGAAAGTAAATTTGTGTATTGTAAGATTCTGCTGTAAGAAATGTCACTAAATCTGGTCTTTTCATGGCATCAAGGTCCTTTTACGAACGTACGGAAGCCACAGAGCCTTTAGTGCACTGCCATAACAACCAAAAGAGCTTTTTATGTGTTTGTTGTTGCTAATCTGGGTGATAAAGCATCCAAACCATCCTGCTGGCATCACAAAGCCTTTAGTTTTTGCTCCAGCAGCGACCTAATGAACGTTCTTCTCTCTGCACCATCCAGGTACACAAAGATGAAAACGGCCACCAACATTTACATTTTCAACCTGGCCCTGGCCGACGCCCTGGCAACCAGCACCCTCCCCTTCCAGAGCGCCAAGTACATGATGAGCACATGGCCCTTTGGGGAGCTGCTGTGCAAAGTGGTCATCGCCATCGACTACTACAACATGTTCACCAGCATCTTCACCCTCACCATGATGAGCGTGGACCGCTACGTCGCGGTGTGTCATCCCGTGAAGGCCCTGGACTTCCGCACGCCTGCTAAGGCCAAGATCATCAACGTTTGCATCTGGATCCTCTCCTCTGCTGTCGGCGTGCCGGTGATGATCATGGCTGTTACCAAGGTGACAGATAAAGGTGGGTGGGTTTGGTTGCTTTAGTGCTAAGTGTTGACCCCAGGCGGTCATCACAGCGCAACACAACTTGAGTTAATAACCTGTTCCCCCCGCCTGATGTCAAAACTCTGATTGTTTCAACTCCTCAGGAAGCACGGCCTGCACTCTCAGATTTCCTTCACCGGAACGGTACTGGGACACGGTGACAAAGATTTGTGTCTTCATCTTTGCCTTTGTGGTGCCCGTCCTCGTCATCACCATCTGCTACGGCCTGATGATCCTTCGTCTGCAGAACGTTCGACTCCTGTCCGGCTCCAAGGAGAAGGACAGGAACCTACGGAGGATCACCCGCATGGTCCTGGTGGTGGTTGCCGCTTTCATCTTCTGCTGGACCCCCATTCACATCTTCATCATCGTCAAGACGATGGTGGCAATTGACCACAAGAACCTGCTGGTGATGGCCTGCTGGCATCTGTGCATCGCTCTGGGCTACATCAACAGCAGCCTGAACCCTGTGCTCTACGCATTTCTGGATGAAAACTTCAAGAGGTGCTTCAGGGATTTCTGCCTGCCTCATCGCTCCCGCTTGGAGCAGAGCAGCTTCTCCAGAGCGCGCAACAGCGCAAGAGAGCTAAGGACTGTTTATGCACCTGCAGCAGCGCAGAGAGCGCCTGGCTGATTAGTCATCAAGGATCAGTCAGAAGAGAGGAGATGGATGACACTCAGTTCTCCACCAGGTGTTGGAGACCTCCTGAGCTCTCTGCTGAGCCGAGGGTTCGCTGCTTTTCTCTGTAAATCTCTGTGAAATAAGACCAAAATGTGAATGTAAAAATTATTTAATATCCTCAGAATATTAGAAATTATTGGATGTTTTCAGCTCGATGACACACCATCACTGCCTTCATGGACTGAACAGATGTGGCTTTTCTTTGGAACATGATATAACCTCTAAACGAGCAGTTATTCTCCCAGATGTACCAGAGATGAAAGGAAATGTACTTCTGGGGTGATGTCTGGGCAGCGGGGATGCTTTTTTGTACCGAACATGAAATAAATCTCACTGTTTTATTGAACAAGTATCTATAAAAGTATATATGTGTTATAACATGTCACAATGATGGGTCTCTAATGACACTTTAGATGTGATGTGATTTGGCTGAAGTACAACAGGTTTAATCAAATGATTCTTATTATTATTGTTATTATTATTATTATTAGTGCTGTAAACATTCTAAATTTTGAGGAAAAATTCAGTTTCATGTGTCTTTCTATGTTTTATATATCTTTGCTTAAATGTTTGTCTGAAAACAGAAACCATAACGCCTTCATTCACTTTGATCTTTAGCTGTGTTTGTCTCTGTAAAGAAACAAAGTGATGAGTAGAAAGCATTCTACACCGAGTACCATATAGCACAAAATATATCAACAGCTTCAATCTTTGATTTATTGAACTCTAATAAATATTTTTGTGCTTTTATTTTGAAATCTTAATGAATAACACTGACTTCATTCCTGGGCCTGCTCGTGTAGAAACGATGATGCGAGCAACATCCGGGGAGATACCAGAAGTAAGGTTTTGTTCCTCGTAGCAGATTATTTGAACATTTCAGGAGGATTTTAAAAACCATTTCCCCCAAAAACATCCTTCATCACATCCTAAATCAGCTATTGCAAATCCTTCATGTTACTTATTTTCATTTGCAGTCAATAAGATATTATATGCACATGAAATGCTAACTGTTACCATTCACTTACATTGTTGATGCTAAGCTAAAGCCAACAGAATACTGTCAGATTAAGCAAATTATAAAATGCTTTCTCCCACTTATTTAACTCTGGAGAATACAGCAAAAGACTGAATTTCACTTAGTGGTGGAATATTCTCTTGAGGTTTGATTCAACACTACATCTGCTTTTAAGTAAATAAGATTTTGTCTCACCTCTTTCAACAAAACACCAACCTTATTGCTGTAGGCACTGATAAGCCTCGGAGCTTTGAGGATTGTTCATTGCCTCACTGTCGGACGCAACAGAGTTAAGAAAGTAGCTAACATGCTACATTAGCTTTGGTCAGGTTTTCATTTCCTCCTAACGCCTCTTTTTTGCAGCAGGCGGTGTAACGGTGTCCTGTTTGAGTTGGGACAGCTGGTGTTCCCACATAGTTTACGTCTCTAAAGACCATCAAAGTGGATTAGAACAAACAGATCGCATCATCCATCCATGACGGGGGTGCCAACTGTGAAGTTTTCCCTTACCCCTGCATGAGAAAATGGAGGTGTGGCGTGAGAGCATGTGTTGGCAGCCCAGTATGGTCTCCATGCAAACAAACACTGGACTGGAAGTAGGTAGTAGCTTTTTTCACGCCAAGGATCTTGGGGGCTAGGGCTAATGTGGATGTTCTGGTCTTGTTGTCCTGTTGTTAAAAACTTTAAGCTACTTGGTGTTGATTTCCGACTGGAGGTCTGTGGCCTGTGGCCGGAGGTCTACTTTTATTTGTTGAATGTTAAAGAATAAAATATTGTAAATACAAAATGTTCAATAAAATATTCTGGAACTGCGTTAGTGTGTTTGGCTACTAAATAACCAGAATGTGTATTAATATAATGTAAAGGATGGGTCGTTTACATCTTACTTATGAACCATAAAATGTGAGATTCCATAGAAATATGAAATATCAATCTGATGGATCTTTGACTATTTTAACCAGAAGATCAGAACTTTTTATTGCAGGGATTAAGCGACACTTCGTATTAACTCCAAGGAAAGAGAGAGAGTCAGGTTTATATAGTTAAGAAATTTATTTCTACACAATTTAAACAAGACTCACTTTAACACTCTGTGTACTGATGGACTAAGGTGGAGTGAGACTTGATGAATGATGGTGGGGTGTGTGGAATCTTATTATCAGAACCAGCGGGTCTGGAGAAGCAGTTAGTTCTGAGTGGGAGTGAATGTTTTGCTCTAAACTTTAGTAGGAGATTTATAACACACATGAGACGTCATCTGTCGGTCTACGTACCCCAGGGGAAGCCTCCGTTTAGATCCAGAATGTTGAGGTCCTCGTGGACCCTCTTTGGTACCGAAGCCGGTAGAAAAGCAGCGGTGCCGACCAAACTAGTCTTGGAATGCTTCCAGGTCACGACAGGTTATCACTGGCGTCTCCGAGACCCTGAAGGGGTCGTGAGGTCCAGCTTTTATTCTGAAGGAGCCGTTGCGGTCAAGTGTAACTTGCAACAGAATTTATCCAGCTTGTCGAGGTTCTTTATGGCTGAAGAGGAAGTCCGGATGGCCGTTCCGAGACTCCTCTAGAACGCTTTGAACTAAAGAAAAGGTGGCGTGGGATAGTCTTTATAATTGTCATATTTTGGTTTACTGGCGAATCAGAATTTGACATGCAAAAGAGGGTTTATACAAACACCACAGAAAACCACACCTAGCCAGAAACGAAGGTTCTGATTGGATCAGACAAAAGGAAATGTGTCGTGTGACTTTAGCATTACGTGTCATCAGTGTCTAGTGCAAATGTCCAGGATTATAATTACTTGTAAAATACTGCTGATCACAGGATTATAATCTCAAGGAATAACATTGTCATTTCACAGATTGATTGAACATAGGGCTCACATTATTATAGAATAGAATTAAACTTTATTGTCATTGCACATGTACAGGTACAGGCCAACGAAATGCAGTTTGCATCCATCCAGAAGTGCTTTAGCCGTGATATAGATGTATTACAATATATATTAGCAATAATATAGATGTGTAAGTGTATATTACAGAAATGGATCCATTACGTATGCTATAATGTACACGGTATGAAGTATGTTATGAATATTCTATGACTATAAGTATGTACAGGCTGTAGTTAATACAAGCAGTCCATGAGTTTAACGTGGGTCATATGTCAGGAGGCAGAGTTCAGGAGTCTGACAGCTGTGGGGAAGAAACTGTTCCGGTACCTGGTGGTCTTAGTCCGGAGGCTCCTGTAGCGCCTCCCAGAGGGCAGCAGGGTGATCAGTGCATGTGATGGGTGACTGTGGTCTCTGATGATGTTCCCTGCCCTTTTCAGACACCGCTTTCTGTAGATGTCCTTTATGGCAGGAAGTGGTGCTCCGGCGATGTGCTGGGCAGTTTTCCCGACCCTCTGCAACGCCTTCCGGTCCGAGGCAGAGCAGTTCCCATACCAGACTGTTATACAGTTGGTCAGGATGCTCTCGATGGTGCAGCGATAGAAGTTCACCAGGATGTCTGAGGACAATTTGTTCTTCCTCAGAGTCCTCAAGAAGAAGAGGCGCTGGTGAGCCTTCTTGACCAGCTTGGAGCAGTTGGTAGTCCAGGTGAGATCCTCGGAGATGTGGACTCCCAGGAACTTGAAGCTGCTCACACGCTCCACTGCCGTCCCCTTAATGTGGATGGGTGGATGTGGGTCAGCATTCCTCCTGTAGTCCACAATGAGCTCCTTAGTCTTCTCAGTGTTGAGCAGCAGGTTGTTTGTGTCGCACCACTGAGTCAGACGGTCCACCTCCTCCCTGTAGGCGGTCTCATCATTGTCACTGATGAGGCCAATCACCGTGGTGTCATCTGCAAACTTAATGATGGTGTTGGAACCATCAGCAGGTCTGCAGTCGTGGGTGAAAAGGGAGTAGAGGAAAGGGCTCATCACACAGCCTTGTGGTACACCAGTGTTCATTGTGATTGTTGATGAGCAGCGGTTATCCAGTCGGACATGTTGAGGGCGGTTGGTCAGGAAGTCCAGTAGCCATTTGCAGGTGAGGAAACTGATCCCCAGGTCTGTCATTTTCCTGATGAGTTGTGAGGGGTGGATTGTATTGAATGCTGAACTGAAGTCTATAAACAGCATTCCAATTATTATTGGTAATTAACAAAGTTGTTTATTATGTATTTATCAGAATAGTTCTTGTTTTCGCTTGGTAAAGCACTTCAGATAAGCAGAGTGCATGAAAGACCTTGGCCACCATCTCATGTAGATTAGGCTGTCAGAGACTTTGTGTCTCTGCTCGAGCAGACACAGCAGATCATGACCTTTAGGTCATAAACAGGACATTCATGACGCTACAATAAACAAAACCAACACTTGGCTTCTTTTGCGGTGTTTTAAATGGATTACTCACGCATGACAACACACTGAATCAGTCACATGTTTAGGAAGTATTTGAATGCAGTTAACTAAATTACATTTATTGGAAAATGAACCCCAAATTTAACATTCATACATGAGATCAGGCTTATTTCCAGAGTTTTGTTGTCTTGTTTGCAACATTTTTCAGGTAAATTTTCTCTGCCGTGACTTGTGACATCTCTTTTATGCCAGTTTTGGGTTCTGCTCTGGACCCACAGTGCATTTGGGCCTTTTCAGTAAAGCAGAACATGACTAAGCGTTGCATTTTTCCTCCTTCTGACTTATCTGTAACTTTAACATTTTGCAGCATTTGTTCTGAGGTTTTAAATTGTTTTATGATTACAGACCACCTGCAGGTTAAAATAGAGATAATTTAATAATTTGGCCCAAATTCGACAGAGAAAATGAGAACGGGGGCGTTTTGTGAACGGGCTCATTACAGAGCCACAACAATGCCAAACACAACAGATGACCCAGTGCGGGAGCATCATGTGATTTTACATAACAACAGCTGGGATGACTGCACACAGTGAGCGGTGACACAACTCTGTATAAACCGAAAGGGAAACGGTCCTGATGCTGCCATGAGCTGGTGTCGATTTGCAGCTTTGTGCAACAGATGCTTCTCAAATGAGAGGAGAGCATTAAGACTTGACGCCTGAGATGCTGGCGAACCGCCTGAGGAACAAAAAGCTGTGAAGCAGTTTTTCATTGCTGAAGAGCCGAGACACGAATCAAATGCGGGCACCATCTGCTGTGTGAGCGTCACAGACTTGCAGGGAGCAAGGCCTGAAAAACGAAACCATTGTTATTGTTGCACCTGGGGAGTCGTAATCATCGCTCCGACGCCGCAGAGTGTTTTTGCAGCTCTTCATTACTAAACTTCATATTGGAAGCTGGCAAATGATAACTGAGGACAGATCAGGTGGTTTAGGGAAGCCATTAAAATCTAGTGGGGCTCAAGATCTTTGTGAGAAATCTTAAAAACAGAACTCTACCAGTAAATAAAGGATGAGCTGTTTCCTTCTGGTTTCTGACTGAGACACAAAGATGTTTGAATTGTCCTCATTTCTGTGTAACAAAGCAAAAGATGTCTATGGTTTCTAGATTTATATAGAATAATTCCCCTCCCCCTCGTGACTTTCACCCACTTCCTGACTGTCTGAACAAGCAAAACCTTTTATCGCATTTAGCCGAGCATCTCAACACAGCTTTCCATTCAGCTCCCGTCCGCCCAAATGCTTTGATATCCAACACAACCCCTGTGAGGATTATCACAGGAAACACAGGTCCATCAGAGGTGAATCCCACACGTCACGGCACTCTACGTTAATGCCTTCACAGCTACAGGCATGAACAGCCCAAACCAGTTCACAGCATGAGACATTCATTCATTAATGACTCCTGTGCACTTAGCAGGAAAATGCATCAATTCTCTTCACAAATGAATCTATTAAAGTCAAACTAGAACTGCTGATGTGACTGTGGATGTTTTACAGGCACATTAGACTTTATGTCAGTTTAGTGCTACGATTAAAACACAGAGTTAGCAGGTAGGATTTAAAAGGTCTGTAACGACCCCCCACGGGATGAGTTTATTCTGCTTATTACCAACTGCAGCAAAGCAATGCTTCGTTGAGTGTTACGGCCTACGTGTAGGGTGGAAAAAACATGCGTGGGCTGTTTTCTCACACAAGGACGGCCACTTCTCTGCAGTGACGGAAAATGACAAGTGGTCATGAATGGATGAGGGTGGGGGCACTACTTGATTTCTATCAACACATTTTCTGTTTTTATAGATGGATCCTAAACGCTGTAACTCAGTCAATCAATCAATCAATCAATCAATCAATCAATCAATCAATCAATCAATCAATCAAAGCTTTATTTATAAAGCGCCTTCCGCAACCCTGTCAGGAAGCCCAAAGCGCTGAACATGGTACAGTTGTAAGTAAATATATTGAATAAATCAACAATAAAAGCAATTCAAATTACAAAATACAAATTACAAAATAGAAATTACAAGATAGATGAAACATTCTGGTACAGGACAAATGTGTGAAACACATTTGGATTGAGTGAACCAATGAAAACTGTGAAATAAATTCAACATAAAAGAGGGCCAAAATCAAACATGTTCTGGAAACGCCAAGCGGAGGAGGTGTGTTTTTAGGTGATTCTTAAAGACTGGCAGAGAGGGGGACAGCCTAACGGAGGGTGACAACTGGTTCCAGAGTAACTGTTTGTGAACTTTAGTAAATTAGAAAAGAATATGAACAAAAAAACTTATTATAATCATGCATGTCAATGGGAATATTCTGATCCGATACGGAGCGATTGGAAGGAAATTCCATTCCGATTGAGAGAGGTGGTTTTGTCCGATCATCATTCCGATTGATGCCCACGTACACATCCATTTGGATTCTTGGAGTAAAATTGTGCCCACTGCGCATGTGTGCAGCTTAGGTGTGATGCCTTTGCAGACGCTCAGGACAAGTGGAAAACCCGGTGGGAGGTGAAGAGAAGTTTTCCTGCTCTCCGTCGCCACAGGAGGAGAGTAGCGTTACGTAGCGCTGAGCCAGTAGCTTAAAGCGATCAGTGAAAACAAAAGCAAACGGGTAAAAATGAGA